TATAAGAGGTAAGATAAAGCCGGATAGTCTTCTTGGCCTAGTGTTAACGAAAGCCTTTTACAAGAATGACGTCCATCATATGATGGACGAAACGAGGAAGTCCCGTGGACTGCGTCAACATGAATATCGTACAACGAGATTCATCTGTCCTCATCTGGTCAGATCAACCAACAAATCTCTTATTCATGCACTTTCACACGAAATGAAGGTCCCTCTAACAAGAATGTTGTAGTAAAGTCAATCGCCAGCTGGTCAAGAGGAATCTGCCATCGCCTTCTGATGGTATCGAACTTCCAATCTCTTCACCAAACACTTTTGATCGAAATGGAAATAAGCTTAACATTTATAGAACAAGAAATTCCTCGAAACCAAAATTTTCTTCACACCTTATTCATACAGCCATAATCAAGCTACCGAATCAATAAAACTTACTAGCTTATCTTTAAATGTCACATAGATACATGAAACCTAAACATTTTGATGAACTATTAAGTGATTTGTCTTGTTCAATTCATATTTCCATCTAGAATGAAATGCGTGTTTCTTTTGTGTATGCTTATATGCCCCAATTGACACCTATGCGTATGAAGCCAGAAGAATGTAACATTTATCCTAAGTCAATAAGATCTAATTATCACGACATATACTTTTTATATTGTAACCATAACTCCGATTGCAAAATGTCGGTCACGCTTCCGGTCAAATGTTTTGACTTTTTGTCTGTGTGAGAGTGAAAGAGAGCTAACTAGGAAGAATAGAAGGTTCACTCGTTATTAGATGCATTAGCAACAGTAGACTAGTTAAATAACCTCCTTTTTTAGGCGGATCAACATCTTATCTATCCTTGAGTCTATCGAGTAGGCATAAGTAGTTCTTTAATAGCTCTCTAACACTAGTCCTCACATTTAATTTATTGTCCAATTTTTGTTCGCAATGCAACAAAATGTAGGCTTCGATTCAACACTGAACGAACTAAGACCGATACGTCGTCGGGATTACATTTGACATGACGTGAATACGTCGTAAATATAAAGTGTGTGTAACACAGACACAAGAAAAATGAAAAAGAAGAAATCTTGAAGGGGACGACAATGTTTGGTGAGAGGAAAAAAGATGAATGACAATGTCTTTAGAACGATTGACTCAATTTTTGGGACATATTAAAATCTATCTGAGAATCTATGAAGTCCAAAAAGTCGTGCCAGACAAAGCATCCCATCGATCCATTAGCCTACTAGGTCAAGGTGAGCCCATCAAATAGAGCTGCGACAAAAACGATTTGTTTAAGTGGATTATAGCACGCCATTAACGCGGTATAAGTATCGGAAGACTATGAATCATAAAGAATTGGGATCATTCTGGTAGATCATTTTTAGACAGGACAAAACAGAAAGTATGAACATAAACAAGGCTTCAAGTTGTTCGGTGGATATCCGATCTTGTGCAGTGTGGAGGGAAAGTTGAACCCTTACGTGGATATCGAATAATGCTTACCAAAGAATTAATAAGTTTTCCTCGCAAAACAGAACTGCTGCTAGCATAAGCCTGAGCGATTGAGGCAAACGGAAGTTTCACCAGTCCAATCAATTCATCTCGTTGTCCAGTAGTTCGTTTGCACCACATCTCGATAACACCAAAGAGTTGGACCAGATCATTACCCATGCTCTGAAGCATGAAATGCATAAAAGACATGAATAACAAAGAGACAATTTAGTGGGCGTTGCTATGGTGCCAGAACGAAGCATTTAATAATCTATCTGACCACGTCTTGGTGACATGGACGAACGCCAGGTGGACCTGGGAAAACTCACCTTGTCCGTCATCATGTATCATGACAATTCCTGGCGTTGGGCCATGCAAGTTTTGCTAGCATCGTCCGTGAGTCTTTCCACATTTAGCATCAAACAACAACTTATCAAAGAGACAAGTCAAGTCCATACCTTGACTAATTTTCCTCGAGGTCACCAAGAAAAGGTGTTAAGAAAATGGGGTCAAACAAACTTTCCAGCGAATGAAGACTTGAACCTTGTTGATACATCTCAAATTGGAACCTGATTACCAAGTAACAACTTTCATTTCAGAAAAAAGTGAGCAACTTCTGATGAGACTGGTCCAAGGTACCAACAAGCTCGTATGTTCTCAAGAAAGCGGGGATTTATTAGTATATTTTTGATAGCACTAGAATTGGAAGCTCATATAAACATAAGGGGGAAATTTCACGTTTAGCTAAAATCAAGCCATTATTACTTTATGTTTTCATCCCAGCAAATTTCGTCCGATAAAGCTTTAAAATCCTTCGTTTTAAGAACCTCTTTTTGAGAGCACTTTTGGCTGCAATAAACATGATCCTCCTTTAGCTTGATTCTCCTATCGCAAATATTCTTCCAATTGCATGGCGAATCCTACATGACCAGATCATTTACGAAAAACAAGGCCTATACTTCGGCAAAAGTAAATGTAAAATATATAATTTTTATTATCCTCTGAGATATACGTGGCATGGTAATAAGCAAAATTTTTTATGATAACGCCTCTTATTTTTAGGCCAGGAACTATCCCATTTTCAGGCAAATGAAAGTGGTTCCCAATCCTTTAAAATACCCGTATTCACTGTTAGCTTTATATTCGGTTGGATGAGTTTTCGTTCTAAGAGTACATAAGATGACATTTTTTGAGCTTTAAACCATTTAAACTGCAAATCAATGGTAGAATAAAACTGCGAAATAGCCAGTTTGGCGTCAAATGACTTAACTCTAACAGATGAGGTAGTATTTGCTAATTTAAGAAGATTACTCAACATGACTACACTGATAGTACGGTGTATAATACGTCGATGAAGATGACCTGTAGTTCGCCTTCCACATGTCATGTCTGCCCCTAACATAGTACTGTTGACCAGTTAGGATTACAGCAGATGATATAAAAACATCTATAAGTATACCTGTCCACGTTCAGATGCTGGGCAATCAAATTACAATAGGGTCTATCCTTCTAAATGTCCCTGCAACACTAATAGTTTGCAAAAAATCTTAAAATTCAACTATTAAAAAACTTTCAGCTCCACCAAAAACTATTATTTTGCAAAAGTAAAGTTCATACAGCGAAAGAAGACCACATCCAATTGAAATATAGCTACAGTTACAAGGCAACATGGCGTTTTGGAACACATACGGGATCCATAACACAAGAAGTCTTCAATGCAAATCGAAACCATGGATCAGATCCACCATGCCAGGCAACTGAAGAAGTAAACCGCTCTATTTTATGCTGATGCCAGGGGCCGGAACGGCACCAAGGTAACCGTACCACCAAATAAGAATGCTGAACCCGATACTCGCCGCTGCTAAATGCGTGCTGGTTCGAGACCGCTAGAAAGGAAGAATTTTGCAGCATCAGCCCCTTGGCCTGGGGCACAGAGAGCCATGTCATGAGAGGGGGTGAGAATGAAGCATCTGACAGCTTGTCGGACTGACAAACCGAGTGACCTGAAGTTGGCACAGGAGACACAGCAACAGTCTTGTTTGTATGCAAGATTGGATTTGGTACATGTGGAATTTCAGGGTTCTAACAAAACGAGAAATAAAATGAGAAGAATAAAGCCAAAGTGATCGAGAGAGTGGGAGAATAAAGAATAAATTTGCGTTTTGAGGAATTTCCTGTTTCATAATTGTTGAGCTTACTCCCGTTTCCAGTAAAAGTATTTAGTAAAAAGATTCGAAGGTCGATCACTCCAGAAGATGACGGCTGATTCCTTTTGTCTAGTTGTCGATTAGCTTTACTGGAATATTCTTGTTGACGCTGTTTCCAAGGCAATCCCCTTCATGTTTTCATCAGAATCAAAGGAGATTGCCTCGGAAACAGCGTCAACAAGAATGTTCCAGTAAGACCCCTTCGACAACTGGTCAAGAGAAATCCGTCATCGTCTTCTGACGGGATCGACCTTAAAATCTCTTCATCAAACACTTTCACTCAAAATGGAAGTAAGCTCAACAAAAGAAAGACTAATCAGAAAGAAAACAACAAAATAAGACAAATTTAAAAACATTCGAAATGGGAAATAGATCTAAATTAGGAAATATAAAACAAAATATAAGCGAGGTATTTTTAAAGAAATATAAAAAAAATGCAGATTTAACTCACTTGCGTTATTTTCGATGATGAATGCTTCAAGCCCTGATTACTGGAAGTATAATCTCCCACGTCCACTAAAATTTAAAAAGAACACATCTTCAGCCCAATTCACATGCGATATTTGTTTTGGAGACAAGATATAAACTCTGCTTATAGGCCGCTGAAATAGGACCTAAGTATGCTTTCAGGCAAGAGTATGCATGTATTCGCACTATTTCATTTAAAGTTGTAGGGGAATTTTCCTACAATCGCATGAGAATACGCTAGGCTTCCGTTAAATTTCACACAGCCTTGCTTTTCCAAAAGGTATTCTCATCCAATCTGGAGTGAAGTGCAGTTTCAACCGTGCCTAGATCTCATCAGATGATATGGGAAAATGCATTTCTTTTCTTGCAATTCACAACTGCCCTGTGATCCATGGAACTCGGGGAAATGTGGCGTAGTGGTTAACTTGTCGAGATTATACGCTATACTGTCATGGTTTGGGTCCCGTTGGGGGTGTTAATTAGATCAGCTTTGGCGGAGGCGAAACCGCAATCTGCTTCTGACAGGATAAGGCTACCTTTGGGGAAATAAGGGGTATGCCAAATTAAATAGAAACCTAAGGTCTACTAATATGATTATGGGAAAATTCAACTATCCGTCCTCTTATCACCTTAAATGAAGTTAGGTGAATACGTCTCATATATATGATATCGTGAAAGTCTCAAAAAACTTCTTATAAAATGAATAAAAATAGTATGAATAATAAGTTGGTGCCAAGGCTATCAATAGATCTGGAATGTATTCGCCATAGATTGCATAGGATGAAGAAGAATTAATAGTTGATTTTTTCCATAATGCTATGAATAGGCGTTACGAGGTCAATAAATTTCACTCAGTCCTGTATGCTAAGAATATCTTTTGCGACACAAGACTATATGAAATACAATGGCAGCATGAGGCCAATTCATAAATTGATGAATTGTGGCAACGTTATACTTCACCAGCCTTTGCAACATAGGCTGACAGCGATTCTTATTCAAGTGAAAATATGCTTTCCTGCATTTCGTTTTGAGTAGGTTTGCGAGACTATCAGTAAATCAAATACGCTAGATGCGTTAATTTTTATTTCGTTAAAGGTGATTAAGGACTGGTAGTTGAATTTTTCCACAATACTATGAGTAGGCTTGGATTAGAATACCTTTTGGGAAGGCACTGCTATGTGAAATTAAATTGAAACCTAAGGTATTGTGGGAGAATTCAACTACTTTAAGTGAGATAGGATGAACACCCATTACATGTATAATTTACAGGTAATCTCGGAAATCTGCTCAAAACGAAAAATAAGTAATATCATTGATTGCTATAGCAAATATAAGTTTGCTACACCGACAATTTCACCACAGAATGCAATATGGGAAATTAACTGGCCCTCTTTGAAATTCACATCTGCCCTGTGACCGAAGGGCGTCCGTGGTAATGTGGCTGAGATTAGGGTTAGAGTCCCGCTGGGAGTGATGATAAGGCCTAAGCGGGGTTGAAACTGCAGTCTACTCCTGTCTGGATGTTAAATACCCTCTGGGAAGCAATACAACGTGAAATTCAATTGAAACGTCACACCTACTAATTCAACAACCAGTCCTTCATCACGAAATAAGATGAGCGCATTTTATATATCCTTTCTTGTGCCTTTCAGAAAGCTGAAAATATTGGTGGGTCAAAATGCGTTGAAAACCTGGCTTTTGTGTTGTTTTGCCGCTCCTTGGTGCGCTTAACCCCGACAACAACAAAAAACTTTAGGTATAGTCGAAGGTCAGTATGAAGAAGACCGCTAAATCCAACAATACAACTCAATACAATACAATGTCAATACAATTAAGGTGACCGCCTTTGTGTTCAAATCAGGCAAGCCTGCAAAGCTCTTATGTTCATCCTTTTCAGAGGGAAAAACCTAAAGAAATTGTAAGGCATCTTCAGAAGCGTCTTCTTTAACGCCTTTCCCACTAAAGATAAGCATTAAAAAATATTAGAAAAAAATACGAGCCTGTTTTTGCTCCATCCTCAGGAGGCGCTGAGGAGGCCTCAGATAATATCGGTTCAACAGATATCAGGAGATGCAGAAGCAGAGCTATGACAAACAAAAAATAACAAAAAAGACGATTTAGGTCTTATGAATCAGCAAATAATAGACACGTCAAGTTAATAATCAAAATTTATTGTAATGAGTCAATAAAAAGGACAAAGATTTATAAGTGAAAGTAATGGGTAATGTTTTATTCGGGTAAAGATCAAAAAAATATTCAAGGAAAATAGTTAGGGCTGGCGTGGACGGCAAATAGATAGCTGTATCCTGATAAAGCTTCTCCCGAAATAGCTATTTGTCAGCAGGTAGGACTTGAGTTCGTAAAAAAATAACATGATAAAATACAATGTATTATTAAAA